GATACTCTCGATACCACATCTGGCGAAGAGGATTCTAAAATTCATGAATCCCACAGTCAATATTCACATCAACACCGGTTTTCATTGAGGAGTTCGCTGTGTAAATTTTTCTTGAAAGCACGTGCTGTTTGCGACGCGCTCAACTCTGTGAGACCTCATGGCGGTTTCGCTACCAAGTTTTCCACCGTTCGACGTCCATGCCGATGGCAGTGCAGGTCCACGATGGAAAAGATGGCTAGGACGCTTAGAACGAATGCTTATCGGAATGAACATCACAGCTGCGAAAAGGAAACGGGCTTTGTTGCTGCATTATGCCGGCACCGACGTAGACGAAATATTCGACACCTTACCAAACACTGGCGAAGACGGCGACTATGACACGGCGGTCGCGAAACTTAACGAGTATTTCTCCCCACAAGTCAACACCACATATGAAGTATATAATTTTCGCCAGACGAAGCAGAAAGAGGGTGAGTCGCTTGATAGTTTTCACACCAGGCTTCGCCAACTCGCGAAAACCTGCGAATTCAGCGATGTTGACAAAGAAATTAAAGAACATATTATTCTGACGTGCAGTTCCAGCTCGCTTAGACGCCGAGCGCTACGTGAAAACCCAACGTTAGAAGGTTTATTGAATCTAGGAAGAGCATTAGAACTCAGTGACAAACAAGCGAAAGACGTAGAAGATACCGGAGGCGAATTCCAAGCCGTCAACAAAATCAAACGAAAAGAAGAGAATCGGCAAAGCCGCCCACGATACCGGCGTGACACACAATCACGCAATCGTCGTTTTGGAAACAAGCAAGGCAATTCTCCCAGAAAATGTGGCAAATGTGGCGGGTACGCACCTCACAAAAATCCATGTCCTGCGCAAGGAAAAGTCTGTAAAGCCTGCGGGAAAATTGGCCATTTTGCTCATGTTTGTCGTTCAAAACCTCGTACCGTGGCCTCCGTGGAAACTGGTCAAACCTCTGATGAAGAATATGAGTACGTTTACACTGTCGACCATCAAGAAAACAAGAAGCCACCCATATGTCAGCTACAAATCAATGGAAGAAACGTGAACATGATGATCGACTCGGGTGCATCTGTTAATCTTCTTGATGAAATAACCTTTCAAAGAATTAACAGTCACGGCAGTGAAAGCCTGCAGCCTGTTCACACCAAGATTTATTCATATGGATCTAAAGTCCCTCTTCCTACCCTGGGAATCCTCACTGCAACCGTGAAATCCAGTAACGCGAGCACCTCCGCTCAGCTGACTGTTGTTAAAGGAGAAAACGGAAATCTTCTCAGCTATCACACTGCAAAGAAACTAGGTCTGATTGCGGTTTCTATTAATACTGCCACCGTCACTGAAAGAAACAAAGACGACCCGGAGTCTCTAAAAGAAGAGTTCAAATCACTGTTTGGAGGCATAGGGAAAGTACCAAACAAACAAGTGAAGTTACACATTGACCCCGATGTTACACCCCGACAGCAACCCCACAGACGAATTCCATTTCATGTTAGAGACGATGTCGAAAAAGAGCTTGAGAGACTTGAGAAACTCGACATCATCGAGAAAGTTGAAGGGCCCACACCCTGGATCAGTCCAATTGTTGTCGTCCCCAAGAAATCCGGAGAAGTTCGAATCTGTGTTGATATGCGTGAGGCAAACCAAGCAATTAAGCGGGAAAAGCATCTCATGCCAACCATTGATGACCTTGTTGCTGATTTGAATGGTGCAACGCTTTTCAGTACATTAGATCTGTCCTCAGGATACCACCAGCTTGAGTTATCACCTGAAAGTCGTTATGTCACAACCTTCAGTACACATGCTGGCCTAAGAAGATACAAACGTTTGCCTTTTGGAATTAATGCAGCGTCCGAAATTTTCCAGGAAAAGATCAGGGAACTCCTTTCTGGCCTCCCAGGATGTAAAAACATCTCAGATGACATCATAGTATTTGGAAAAGACCAGGAAGAACACAACAAGAATCTCCGTGGTGTTCTCCAGAGGCTTAAAGAAAATAACCTCCGTCTCAACAAAGACAAGTGTGCGTTTTCCAAAACTGAAATCAAGTTCTATGGTCACATTTTCAGCTCTGTCGGTGTTAGACCTGATCCAAAGAAAGTTAAAGCAATCCACGAGGCACAATTTCCTCGGAACCATAGTGAACTGAAGTCTTTTCTTGGTATGGCACAGTACGTCTCCCGATTCATACCAGACTATGCCACAATCACGACCCCTTTGCGCCTGCTGACCCGACAGGACACCCCTTGGAAATGGGAGCAAGAAGAACAAAAGGCATTGGACAAGCTGAAAGAAGCCCTCGCTGGGGATCAAGTTATGTCCTATTTTGATCCAAGAAAGAAGACCGAAATCATTGTCGATGCGAGTCCAACTGGTCTTGGTGGACTGTTAATACAAGAAGGCAAAATTCTTAGTTATGCAAGCCGTGCTTTGAGTGATGTGGAAAGTCGCTACTCCCAAAAACAGAGAGAGAGATGCTTGCCGTAGTATGGGGAGTGGAACATTTTCATCTGTATGTTTATGGTGCCCAGTTTTCTGTTATTACTGATCATAAACCTCTCATAGGCATCTTTAAGAACCACAAGCAAACTTCCCCAAGAATGGACAGGTGGAAACTTCGACTCATGCCCTACGACTGTCAGCTGATCTATCGGCCTGGAAGAGATGCCGAAAACCCTGCTGATTACATGAGCCGACATCCGTGTCCCACAGCACCAGAAGAACAAAATTTGGCTGAAGATTATGCCAACTATGTATGCTCTAATGCTGTACCAAGAGCAATGACGCTCGAAGAAATAAAACACGAAACCAGAAATGATGCAGAAATGCAAGCTGTCGTCAAGGCTGTGGAAACTGGCCAATGGAATGTCCCAGACGTACAGAAATACAAGAAGCTCAAGGAAGAATTATCAGTGTTCAATGGACTAGTATTGAGAAGAAACAGAATTGTGATACCATTTACTCTCAGAAGTAAAGCAGTAGACCTGGCACATGGTGGTCACCAGGGGATTGTCAAAACAAAGCAACTCATCCGAGACAAAGTGTGGTTCCCCGGAATCGACAACCTAACAGAAGAGAAGGTCAAAAGCTGTCTTTCATGTCAAGCTGCATCGACCAAGTCACCACCGATTGAACCCCTTCGAATGACGCCACTCCCTAGCGGACCTTGGAGAGAAGTCGCAGTGGATTTTGCTGGACCGTTCCCCTCTGGTGATTACATCATGGTTGTAACAGATGAATTCAGCCGTTTTCCGGAAGTAGAAATACTTACCTCAACATCAGCAAGAGTTGTGATCCCTAAACTTGATGCAATATTCTCAAGACAAGGTATTCCTGATGTCCTGAAAAGTGACAATGGTCCACCGTTTAATGGTCATGAATTTAAGAACTTTTCTGACTACTTAGGATTCAAGCATAGAAGGATAACCCGTATTGGCCAAGAGCAAATGGAGAAGCGGAACGACTGGTTCAGACCCTCCAAAAGTCTATCAGAATTGCTCACCTAGAAGGCAAAAATTGGAAGCAAGAGTTGTACAAGTTCTTACGGCAATATCGTGCAACACCCCACTCCACCATCAATGTGTCTCCAAGTGAAGCCTTAAACAGCAGAAAACTCAAGACCACACTACCAGAGTCACCAATCACCCAACACAAGCTGCCGCGATATACACTTCAAGATCCATCCGCTAGCGTCGCCCAGAGAGATGCTCTGCAAAAGCAGAAAATGAAGGTCTATGCTGACCTCAAAGCGCATGCTCAAGAACGAGAGATTAAGCCAGGAGAAGTTGTACTCATTAGACAACCCAAACAAAACAAGCTCAGCACTCCATACAATCCAAAACCATTCATCGTGGAGGAACAGAAAGGCACCATGGTCACAGCGAGTGATGGTTCACACACTGTTACGAGGAATTCATCGCAGTTCAAAGTTATTCCGAAACATCTTGCACCCTGCCAAGAGAATGGTGGAAGGAAAGATGAAGAAAAGACACAATGTCCATCCAAAATGAAAGCTGACGCCTTGCCGAGACGATCGAAACGACAGATCAAACCTCCTGTCAGGTTTTCAGACTATGTACAAATCGTCTACGAGAAATAGGCTGGAAAAGGAACTTTTCTGATTCTCTGAGAACGTTGACATAATATGAAGTGTTTGAAGGAAAAGAGATCTCAGTTTAAATTCAGTTTGAATGTTGATTATTGAACTTTGATTACAAAACGATGTACATTGTTTTGTTTAGAATTTTAGGACGTTTATCACTTAAAATACAGTTAGTCACCTTGTGTTCTTTTCATCCGAAAAAAAGGGAGGGATGTAATGTCGTACGTCAATCATGTTGGATCACGTGACTAGAGAGAGAGATTATTATTAAAAAAAAGCAAGGTTTTTACTACAAGCAGGGCGTTGTGGTTCATTTTACTTTAGCTCTATTCGAGACTGATACTCTCGATACCACAATTGGCAACACAAATTGGCAACAACAACAAAATTGGCAACAACAACAACAGGACAACTTATGCTTGTCCAAGCAGGCAGAGTGACAAGGCAACACTAAGGGAACTGTTGCCATCTGCAAGTGAGGAAGACCTTGACAATGCACTTTTAGAATTGGGTGGCCTCCATTCAGCAGCAGATGCTCTTCTTGAAGGAGATTCCCTCCCAGAAAACTCCAATACAGTACTATGTGAATCATTAGTGCAGATCATTGACATCTTAGGAAAAAAGTTGACAGGAAAAAGAAAGAAACTAGAAGTTGATGAAGATGATATAATTGAAGATGCAGTGGCCTACTACAAGTCCATTCAGTTTGATGCTTCCTGCCCTTTAAGAATTATCTTTCGAGGGCAGCCTGCCATAGAAAGTGGTGGAGTACTGAGACAGTTTTATTCTAACTTATTTGAAGGATTAGTACAGGGCAAGCTACTGCTGCTGTTTGAAGGAGAAGAAGCCCACAAGGTGCCAAGTTACCAACCACAGGCCGTCATGAGTGGAATGTTTGAAATGGTTGGTAAAATGATTGCCCACTCACTTGTGCAAGGAGGCCCTGGATTTCCATGTTTGGCACTGCCCTGTTTTCATTACCTTGTGACTGGAGATGTCATGTGTGCATTTGCGTACTGTGATGTTTAGGATATTCCATAACCAATTTCTAGGAATATAGTCTTGCAGGTACATGCTCAGTATGTGTGGTGTTCGGATGGCACGAGAAACGGAGATATATTCTTGGATTTCAACACAGAACTTTTAATAATTTCTAACATGTGTCGTCGCCATTACCGGAAGTGATCATACATCGAATCATGAACGGAAGCGAGGCTGAATTAATGTAAACGTAAATCGAATACAGCACAGTATGTTCTGAGTTTATTTTAAAGCAAAGCAAAGATTTACCTTAAAACCAGAGTAAATCCAGTAAGTGTACACTGCAACTCTTGGATACCCCATAAAGCAACCAGTAATATTGGGTAAGCCTCCCGTTACTAGAAAAATGGTATTTCTAACGAATGAGTCCGCGAATAAGGCAGAAATAGATATTTTGTCGGCACGAGATACGACAAGGCCTGGGCCTTAGGCCCGAGCATCATGGGTAATGATGCAGTGGTATATAAGGGAAAGTGTAGCACGTGATGTCCATCTAGGCCTCAGAACCAACCGTTCACCTCTGGCTGATGACAAATTTATTGGCCTCTTGGAGCAGACCGTTTCTCAGATCAAACGGTCGAACGAAGAATCGGCGGAAAGTCAGATGAAGGAGACCAAGCGCCTCAAATTCAACGAGTCTCTTAAGAAAAACAAAGTGACTAGAGGAGCGCTGCAACTCAGGTGTAGTTCTTTCCTTTGTTAATATCGAAGCTAATAGTTTGCCTTCGCAATCGGAATTAGGCAGTGCCATTGACTCGGATCCTAGCGTTGCCGCTTGTGCTGATTCTTTCTTGTTAGATTCCTTCGGATTCAGGCTCTCTTGCAGTTGATTTGACCTATTCTTCTGTGCGTGGAGGGCTTAGAAAATTTCTGGATTTTTGACGTACTTTGGAAGTTTCGCAATTTGTCCTAAATGTTATTATGCAGGGTTACAAAATTCCCTTCCTCCAACTTCCAACACCTTTTGTTAAGAGAAACAATACTTCTGCTCGTGAGAATAGTGATTTTTGTTTCGCAAGCTGTCAGCGATTTACTTCGCTTGGACCTAATTGCATAACTTGCTTGCAAGTCCGATATCATTAACCCACTTTCAGTTTCTACCCGTAGTTCGGGAAAGCAAAGGCTCGTTTTGAATCTTCGACATGTCAACCAGTTAATATACGAACAGAAGTTCAAATGTGAAGATCTGGGTGTCGTTACGCAGTTGTTTTGATCGTAATTATTACTTGTTTAAATTTGACCTTCAGTCTGGTTATCACCACATTGAAATTTTCCCAGACCACAGAAAATTTCTCGCTTTTGCTTGGGATTTTGGGAACGGGGTTTCAAGATATTTTCAGTTCTGAAAATTTTCAGAGCTCATAGAGCCTCTGTGCTTCCTTTCGGGTTTTCTTCAGCCCCGTATGTTTTCACATCGATTTTTAAGCCATTACAGAAATCGTGGAGGAGCCAGGGCATCCCGATAGCTCATTTCCTCGACGATGGTTTAGGAGGGGGAACAGATTTTGTTTCTGCTAAAGTTAACAGTTTAGTCGTCCATTCAGATTTGCTCAAGTCTGGATTTGTTCCTAATGAGGAAAAGTCCCTTTGGGAGCCTCTCCTAGTTATCACCTGGTTGGGTGTGATTCTCGACACTATTGATGGAACTATACAAGCAACCGACGAACGTATTGAAAAGTTAAACGCTGGCCTTGTTGAGCTACTGTCTTGTCAACCTCCTTGAAAGTGCACGTGATGGGAGTCGCCATTGTAACAGGTCAAATAATTTCCCTCTCTCCCTGTGTGGGTTCCTTCGCCCGTATTATGACTAGATTTCTTTTCTTGGTCGTGAATTCGGCGCGCTCTTGGGAAAGCGAAGTTTTTCTCTCAGACGACTCTCTTTCAGAAATCAGTTTCTGGAAGAACAAGTTGGTATTCTTCAATAGCAAGGTTTGTTCGTCGGTCCAGTCCCTTCCGGTCAGGGTCACCTTTTCAGATGCCCCCAATTCGGCTTGCGGTGCTTTCGTAAAAGAATCAAATTTAGTATTTTATCAGAACTGGTCTCCTGTAGTGCGTGCCTAAAGTTCTACATGGAGAGAACTCAAAGCTGTTTGCCTCGCCTTGGAAGCTTTCGCGAGTCATCTTTCTGGTGTTAAGGTTATTTGGTATTCCGATAACCAGAACGTCGAATCTATTCTTCAAAACAGTAGTAGGGTAGCTGACATGCACCAATTGGCCCTCCCAGTTATCCAAATATGTCTTGAGTTTCACATATCACTTGAGGTTAAGTGGATCCCTTAGGAGCTTAACGCTAAGGCTGATGCAATAAGCAATTTAACCGATTATGATGACTATACCATTAACGAAGCTATCTTTCAAAGAATTAACCTATTTTGGGGGTCCCACACCGTTGACAGATTTGCTTGTCCCTATAACGCTAAGGTACCAAGATTTAACTCTGAGATTTTTTCAGACCGGCTGTGTAGTAGTAGATGCCTTCTCCCAAGATTGGGGGCACGATAATGATTGGATTTGTCCTCCAGTGTGCCTATTAATTAGAGTAGTAAAGCACATGGAATTGTGTAAGGCGAGAGGAGCGGTTATCCTCCCCTTGTGGAAGTCCTCTTGCTTATGGACTTTATTTTGTAGAGACGGTGTGCAACGGTACAGTTTCGTAATTGACTGGGTGTTTTTACCCAAGTTCTCAGGTCTCTTTATCAGAGGGAAAGCCCGAAACTCGCTTTTCGGTTCCAGACCCCTGGACTTTGATGCTATAGCCCTTCGAATTGATTTCGCCGCCCCAGATCTCCCTGTGCTTGCGTAGGCTTCTGTACGAAGTTCAGTATAGACTGTGATCGTTGTAATTAGCCCGGCGGGCTTTTTGTATTCACCGCGGAAGTTTTCTCTTCTGGGTGCAAATGTGATTTTGTTTCAGTCAATCCCAGCGTAATTGCTCTAAGTCCTTTGTACTTAGCTTATGGGTTGTTTGGCATTTACTCAGGCTTGAAGTGACTTAAATCATAGAATTGCTCGTCAGTATTGCGTATTGCGTTATGACACGAGTTTGTGTCAAGAATTTATTCAACATTGTTTGAAATTAAAGGGACCCATTTGTAGGCGTAGGCTTCTGTACGAAGTTCAGTAAAGACTGTGATCGTTGTAATTAGCCCGGCAGGCTTTTGTATTCACCGCGGAAGTTTTCTCTTCTGGGTGAAAATGTGATTTTGTTTCAGTCAATCCTAAAGAAGTTATATTTCCCTTAAAAAAGGCTTCATGGTTATTAAGGTTTTGAAAAGCAAGAATGTCCAGCTCCGTAAAGGCGACGAAGTCGTTATGTTATAATTGTCTAGTTCTGTATGCCCCGTTGAGTTGCTTAAGAGGTGTTTAGTTATGTTTAAGATACACCCTGATTCCAAAGATTTTATTTCAAGCCTATTTCTAAAGGGAAGGGCTCTTGCAAGCTTGTTGCCGCTGATAAGCCCACTAGTTACTCTACAATTAGAGGGGCTTTTCGCTGGGACCTGCAAAGTCTCGGAGTTGAACCGTCCAAATTGGGTTTGCATTCTCTAAGATCTGGGGGAGCCATTACGATAGCAAGTAATGGAGTAAACGACAGAGTTTTCCAACGACATGGTTTTTGGAAATCGGTACAAGCCAAAGACACATACGTAGACGATAATTTTGAACAATGACTCGAAGTATCGCGTTTTCTTGGGCTCTGAAGGCGTTTTCGTGTTCTTTTTGGTGGTATTATATCACCTTGCCTCGTGCGTCTTGCCCAATTCTTTGTCAGTCTATATATGCCTCGGGTTGGTTCTCGGCAGGCTTCCCTAAATAAACTTATTTGGTGTACACTACTGAGTTATTTGTTGTGTAGTGGAGACAAAATTTTATGTAACAAGTGTTTTTTGAAATAGTGGCTGTGGTCTAGGAGTTTTTGTACTTGATATATTTAATGTGGAAAAATGTGAAGGTGCATTGGTCTACAATCAAGATGCCCTGAGCATTGAAATGCACATGCGTGCAAAAAATGTTTCTCATGAAGATTTACTGGAAAGGCTTGCTGAAAGGTGTAAAAGGGCCTACCTTTCACCTATACCTACTATTCAAATAATAAAACTTCTCCACCAGTACATGTACATTTCTAGTCATGTATAATGATTATTTCTATTTCTGCAAATTTATTTAAAGCTAATGGATGTCACTGGTGATGATGAACTGGGAGAGCTAGCCAAGAATGGTGAAGTAATTAATCTGATGGCTAATTGTGGAGAGACAAGTGTTCTGCAGGTAGAACTTACTTTACATTTAAGACATTAATTTTGTTCTGTCATTCATGTCACCCCTGGCATTGCAAAAACTATATTATTCATTCTTGAGATTGTGAAATAGCAAAAGCTATGCAGGAATTTCCAGATGTCCTGTTACACATGCTCAGAGATTACACCACTGTCTTGAGCTTGATGGGAACTGTTTACAGGATGGTTATACAGTAGCTTTAATATATCAGAAAATTTTCTGAGATGTTGTATACATGACAATTAGATATCATTTTGTGATTATATTGGGACCAGAGATGGTCATTCTTTTCTCTCAAGTAAGACACCTCATTTAACAGTAATACGCATTCAGAAGACTTATATGGCTACATACTAAAGTTGCTACAAATTTTATTTAGTTGATTGGTTTGAAGCCATTTAAGTGCCAGCCTATTTGTTTGCTACAATTTAAGAGAATTGTGTTGCATTTTTGTTTGGACATTACTGTTAACATCATATTTTATTTCAGATGTCTACCAAAGGGAAAATAATCCAATCAGTAGTCATGTACAAGGTCATTTCAAAATGTAAAATGGCATTGGATCAGTTGAGAAAAGGATTGAATACCCTTGGTGTTCTTGATGAGATGTCAAAGCACCCACATCTGTTTGAGAGTGTGTTCACCTTTAAACCTGTTGAGCTGACACCAGCAATAGTTAAAGAGTGTCTCAAATATTCAGATGAATTAAGTGACCAAGCACAGGAAACCAAGATGATGATGAACAGATTTGTTGACCAGTCATCAAGTGCCAGGTTGATGCAATTAATGCAGTACTGCACTGGAAGTAAGATGATGCCTTTAGTACAGAACTTTGCAATAAATGTACATTTTCATAGTGAAGATCACATCTCTTCATCAACATGCACCTTTACATTGTTTATACCTGATCATTTTCACTCTTATAGTCTGCTTGAACTTTCTTTAAATTCAGCCTTTTCTTCATCTGGAAAGTCTTTTACCTCAGTGTGAACACTGTTAAGTGAATAGTTGAGATTGACCTCATGTTGGCTTTTGACTTTATTTAAAGTGGTAAGAACACACAAAACCAATGTTGGTGCTGCTTTTCAGTATCTCCCTTTTTCAATGTTGTGTTGTTTAATTCAGTGATAAATTTAGTTTTTTTACCTTTCCTAGCAGTATAACTGATGTTTATGTTCAGTGCTGATTCCTGGGAATGATAGTCTTAAATTTGTAATGTTTTGTCATGCATAAAGTTCATTTTCTGATTTTATTATTGAAAATAACACACAAAGGACCAAGTAAGAAATGTGAATCTTTTTTGACTTGCTCTTTAATAAGTATTGAAATAAGTGGATTAACATGAACTATTGTTTTCTTCTTAAAATACTTTGCATGAGCAAATTATTAAAAATGGAACAGAGTTTTAGAATAGGGGTGGAGAGATAGGGATGGGTCAGCTCGTTTGAGAGGGTGATGCCTCAGTTTGGAGGACTTCATCCAAAAAAAAAAGAATATATCTGAAAGGTGGCTGGGACTGGTCATTCTAAGAAAACCAGTGATTCATAGTCATTACCTAGCTATCTGAGTTTCATGATAATTTTAAGCAAGTTCAGGTTGCATGATGTTCCAATCCACCATAAACCATAACAGCAAAATTCAAAACGGGTATGTGAGGTGCCATCAATTTTTCCTCAGAAAGATAGATTGATAAAACACATATTCAGTGTTTAATCCCCCTTAAGATACCCTCCTGCAAGAAATCATAGTGATTTGAAAAAAAAACACATTGGCATGTTAACCTTGTCATTGTTGAATACAGCTATGTGTGAGATGATTCCCTACGGGCATGTCTCATAGGCATTATTGGTTATCATCGCATAACCCTGAGTAGCCTTTGTAAGCATTCATTGAGAACTATGCTTGGAAAGCTAGTTTTCTAGAAATTCAAGTGCCCTCTGGAATATATGGCAAAAGCACTGGAATTCTCAAGTGGGGTTGATCTCATTTGACAGCCTAGAGATAATGTTATCTAGTAAATCTACATCCACTTCATTGACTTCGACAGTGGACAGACCATCATCAGGTGGTGGTGGTGCATCAGGGTCAAAACCATACCACTCATGCTCATGCCCACTGATGTTAGCATCACTTACATCAACTACTGCAGTAAGTCTTCCATTGACTCTGTCTATCATTCCATTGGACCAGATTTGTTCCGGACTCCAATTTCTTTCAGTTCTTATGGGGTGCTTATTCCAGGCCCCAACAAAACTATCAATTGCAGCATTAATTCTGGGCAAGTAGACACAATGAAGAACAAACAAATGTAGGGGGTTGGTGACATCAAGCAAACGAGATTCCTCCATGGATTTGAAAGTGTAGTAAAACACATTACCGAAGCATCGAGACACGTCTCGCCATAAACACTCGATTCTCTGGTTATGAGTATGATTATGGCCTTGAAATCCAATCGTGCATTCCCGTACCAACACATTTTCTCCATGATCGGTTCATATTCTAGAAGGCCACGAATACTGTTCAATACTCTGCAGTAAAAGATCTTCAACAGTCTCTTTTCTGTTGTTTGTAGAACACTTCAAAAAAAATATTTAATCTATCAGCAATGTAACATCTTAAACATAGGGAGAAATTGGCCATGAACTCTGTCCCCTGTAACAAAGAAAAATTCGCACTCAGAGAATTTTCTCAGTCCAATACACATTTGAAGTACATGATATAACAGTGATATAACAGTATAGTCTAACATCAACCAGTTATAAATGATTGCCAATCTTCACTCAGGACCATAAATTATACACATCTAGTGAGCAAGTTCACCATCTTCATTTTCCACTAGAATCATGAAAGAATCAAGAGCATGACAGAGAAAATTTACTCATTTATGTCCAAGCATCAGCCTATTGGGATCATAGAGTGAAGCACAACATTGTAAACCACCTACTTTGGAATGATGTAAACCTTTCAATCCTAGGATCTCATTAGTAATTCTTATTACTGTCTGCCATATAATTAAAATGATGTTAGTTTGGAGAATTTGGTATTGGATCAACTAATAATCCCTAGTTTATATTTTTCTTCATTCTCATTACTTGTCTGTTTGCCACTGTATTAATGTTGTTAGGAGAAATTCTGTCTTGGTCACTCATAGGAGTTAAAGGGTTAAACCTTTTTGTTCACAATCACAGTTATTTCATACACAGGTAAAAGGCATGATTTACAGGTGTCATCCTTGTAACATACAAAATATACCAATAACATCTGTTAACCCTTTAACTCCCAAGATCTCATTGTTAATTCTCCTTGCTGTCTGCCATACAGTTCTGGTGATGTTAGTTTGAAGAATTTGGTATTGAATCGACTTATAAACCCTAACTGATATTGTATCAACTTATAACCCCTAGTTGATATTTTTCTTTATTCTCATCACTTGTCTGCTTAATATTGTAAGGAGAAATTCTGTCTTGGTCACTCACAGGAGTTGAAGGGTTAAGAATCATTAATCACAGCATGCCAACAATCACACCAACCTCATTGCCTGAAGAGGACTAGCAGTATGTGGACAAATTCAATCCACATTGGTAAATGACTATTTAATACTGAATACGACAAATGATAATGATCTAATTATGACTATTGCACTTCACCACAATGGACAACCAGAACCAGTTTTACACAATTACACTTACTTGTGCAATACAGTTACTGTCAAAGTGTTCAGTTTTTTCTTTTTCTGGTGGTAAAAGGGCTCCTACAGAAGAAAGTTATAAAATGTGTAAGTGTGCAATTCCAAACTGCATGAAACTTGGCCTGTCTGAACATCTGGGAGGGGTAACTTTTCCATTTGGAATATAGAAAACATGACCTCACTTGTCTGATCAGACAATCATGAGCAACTTTGGACATGATACATCATTTCCAATTCTGATAAGTTCGTTGCTCATAAAAATAAGTACCATGAACAGAAAGTAATATACATTTAAGTATCATTTTGAATACCTTTTTCCATCAATTCATTTTGAATTCTTGCCATTTCCTCTGCTTTTTCCCTAAAAAAGGTTAAATTTAGCATTTCCTGCCATTATGTTTTCATCTGTAGTGTGCAAACATTTGCACTAATTGGGTTACTGTTTCATTACTAACTTGGTTTAGATGCTCTGAAATGACAAGATCTTTGCTGATTCATTTTTGCCCTTGGAGCCTGTAATGAAAAAATTAAAGACAAACCTGCATAAATATTATCATAAATAAGCGAAATACATCTTTAGTTAAAAAAATATATATTTTATAACAGATTAATATATATACTGGCAAAGTGCCTCTTATCACTCCATCAATGGCCATGTAAAGCAACTTTCTGGGTCTTACTATAGAGAAGATTCTGTAAAAAAAAAACAAAAAAACCAACAAAAAAAAAGTAGAAATTGACTGTTGTGGGTAATGGTTAAATATAGTTAAATGGAATATGCCATAGATAACAACTAAGAGCAAATATGTTCAGTAGCATTTTGAGGTGTTTGATAAATGTCTTGACTGGCTGTTAGCATTCATGCAGCATTTGTTGCATTCTGTTTGGTGCAGTACTGTGGTCATAGGGACCTTGAGGCTGTCCTTATATAGTGGTATACCTTATCAGTGCATGTGTTGTTCTACCATGTGCTTGCATTGTAATCACCCTTCTATGTTGTGGTGTTGTTGTCCTTGCAGATTTTGGATCTTGGCATTTTGTCCCCCCCAACCCTAACTGCAGGGTTTATTTCTAGTTATTATTTTTTTTTATCTCTTGATTCATTTTTTTATTCATGTTTTCCTCCACTCAGCCATCTGGCTCTTGTGTGACAGTGCTCATAGGGAGCTTGGTGTAGGACACTTGTGGCTTGATTGCAGGTTGGGCAGGCCAATCTGGTGTTCAAGTGCCTCAAGGTGCTATTGTGGTTTCAGCCCCCAGGTCTCTCGGGCACCTAGCCTCCATTTGCAACATGCGCATTAACTGAGAGTAAATTTTACAGAGTGTTCCCTGAACAAGAGATGTGGTGGCCTAATGGTCAGCGCACTAGGCTTCTGTTCTAGAGGTCTAGGTTTGTGACCAGGTCATTTTGTTGTGTCCTTGGGTAAAACAAGTTATGTACACAGTGCATCTCTTCAACCAGGGGTAAAAATAAATTTAAAAAAAAGTACCTGTCAATGTACTCAAAAATAGCCACCATCATTTCATCTTCATTCTTTAGGGCTGGCCTGGAAATAAATTATAAAATGTTCATTTCTTTTGCTTAATGTATGCAAAAAGTACACCTACAGTACAGAGAGAGTTAACCAGTAACAACAATAGTTACGCAGGAGGAAAGAAAGAGGAGGAGAAGTAATACAACCATACAATACAACAGAGAAATCACATTAAGACTTGTTCCCATTTGCTCTAATCTCCCAAATCAAGGATATACTCATACAGAATAGGCCACACTTAGCTTAAATATAAAAATTGCTGCTTACTTGCTTTCAGGATGACAACAAGGATGAATGATTCCATTCATGTCCAGGTATAAGTTATCAAATTCATAGTCATTGGGGTTTGGTAAACTTGTGTCCACTGGGGCCCTAACTCCATCAACTTCACGTCCATAGGATGGTGAAAAAATAAGGTAAATGTTCATTTCGCAGACCAAAATTTCTGGACTATGGTGCTATGGAATCATATTTTCCTTCAGTGGATTAGGTGTTCAAGTTTCTAAAGAAACTGTGGTCCTGCATTGGTGAACTAGATTACTAGATAATTTGGTTTTATAAACTGGGTTGGTAATGTTTATTAGCCACAGGAAACAGATTCTAAAACTGCCATTTCAAGCATTAGCCCTTCATCAGAGCAATCAATGAAGGGGTAACTGTCGAAAAATCAGCTTTAGCATCTCTATACAGTGGCCAATATACATTATCCTCAGTTGATAAAACCAAATTATTATTTTGCCTTTCCCTACCACTTTGATCAATAATAAAAACACGAAATTGGTCCTTTTAGAAGAGGTATAGAAGATACATGCACACTGTAACATAAACTAGTTCTTTATTAGCAATCCAATATAGAAACTTCCTAATTTAAGAAAATCGTTCATTAATTCAATGAACAAAAAACCCTGTGCTCAGGTTTTGATCCTTGAACAAGTCAGCTTTCTCACTTTGAGAACGTGCTTTCACTATCTTAGGAGGGCTGTTTCCGAGTCCGCGCGATGAGAAATCTCAATTTTAAAGTGTTTCTTTGACAAACAGTTGGCACTGATCTCTATTTAAACGGCCTTCCTACATTGATAATAATGAATTAATACTTTCTTTAATTGACTATCATAGCCACAGGGCAGAAAGACCGCAAAATACTGGCTCAAAGAGTAAATCTCAAACACGTGTAGTTAGATCAACAACAAGCTAGGCTATCAATCCTTCCATCGACTCACCTTTTCTTCTACACAGTGGACAACGATCGACGGGTATTTCTTTGATAGCCAGCGAAAAAATGCTTGAACTCCCATCCCTGCGTATTCGGTTGATAAAATTAAAGTTAACTCAACGCTGAAAAGTGAAAAAGCCTCTGTAGAAAGATCATAGGCTTATTGGAGAAGATACGAGAAACTACACCTTATACATGACATACTTACCAAAAAAACCAGGTGATATACCGCTGACAGGTTTATCTCACAATGGTAAAGCATAGGCAAGAAATGCGTGCATACATCTTCAAACCACATCGAGAAAAAAGTTCAAGTTCGTTGCTAAACAAAATATGCTTATTGAAGAGATAAGAATTCTCAAATTCATGACTTTTTTCTGACAAGATACACTTCAATAGTTAATTTTTCAAGCAACTTTGGGTGGTAATGCCTGCTGCGTTCCAATAGGTGTCCTCGTACGACTTTTTTGGCTATCTCGTATCAATATTCTCTCAGGCAACAAAAAACAACCTCACAGAACAAAAATATTACAAAAAAATCAAACAAATAAAGTTTTTCCTTCAGACCACGGATGCTTAAAAAGCTACTTGTGAAGGGTGGAACAGAAACTTGCTGTTACTACGAAACAAAAAAAACTTATTTTGTTCTTTTCTTGTTTTTAAGGACTGTCTATTGATAAGAAAGTTTTTCATTGTGAAACTAAAAAAATAGAGAGTGAAGGCCTATATAGTTAGATACTCTTTTAAGTTATCTGTCAAATGTTTATAAAAGATGGCGCAAACGGAGTCACTGCCACTGGGTTCTCCACAGCAATGAACCTGTGCCACTTTTCATCTTACCAATAACAATCCCAATTCATGGGAAAGTCTCATTATCGTGATGCTCGAAAATCTTGAAATCATTACATTTTCTTATGTACCAATGATTTTGTCATTTAAAGGCTCTTGCTGTGTAATGTTGAAGTTTGTAGAAATAATCATTAAAAACTCAAC